ATCCATTTGCTTATTTTATTTTTTATAATAATTTTCATTGGTTTTTAAGAGTAATATTGATGATATTCAACAATTCCACTTGATCAATCATTTTATCACATTGAACTTAACATATATAATATATATTCTCAAACGAAAAGAATTGGTTAATATTTTATTTTATTGATTGATCTCATGGTATACTCATTCTTCAGTTTTCAGAATAAAATTATAAAAATTTGTTCTCTTTTTTATTTTTATTACTTATACGGATATTTTTATTTTTATTTTATTTTTTATTTGAACACCAAACAATAATATATAAACTTCAATATGGTCTTTATACAAATTTACAGGAAACTTTTTTATTTATTTTTATATTAATCATATTATTGTATATTGTTGATTCATATGTTCATTTATAACGTGATTTACAATTAAAGAAAACTAAATAAATCAAATCAACGTTCCATCTATACCAACTTCTTTGTATAAATAAATTTAGTTCTTAATTTACATTATTTTTTCTCGTTCTTAAGAAAACTCTACATATCTATTTTATTTTCTTCTATACTCTTTTTTTCTGAGAGTTTTAAATTTCTATTTAGAATTTTAAATAATTCTGTAAAGAAATAATATTAAGGATAATGTACGTTGAATTATGAGAAATTACTGCGGGAAATGGCCATTCGGTATTGATAGAATTTCAAAATTTAAGAATATTTATTGTGTAAAGTTTTAAAAGTTTTAAAGTGTTAAAGTGTAAATTAGATATATGCTTTCAAATACGATTCTCGGAAAGATAAGAGTAAAAGGAAATATTTGCAATACGCTGTACTTGTACATATGACCCAGCGAATAGAGGCTCGTTAACAACATTCACACACATATCACTTGATGAACACGGTATGACCTTGCGCGATTCTTCCGGTATTGAAATGAACCATTGGATCTCGTCGGTCATAAGCATAACAATAACACCACTTTTTTCAGCCAATCGATTTAACAATAATTGAAAATAATATTAAATATTACAACTGCCAACTAAGTCGCAGTAATATCCATAATAATGGCTAAGTCGACTAGCCATAATCTTAATTTTAATCTTCATAAAAGCATTTATAACATTTTACATATTTCTAAATTTATAAATATTATAAAAATATTATAATTATTTATAAAAATATTCTTTAAAGATTTCAGAATTTTAAATTAATGTATAAACATAAATGTATAAAAGCAAATGAAAATATGTCAAGCTTTCATGTCAATAAATTTAGAAAGAAATATATAATTTTATTTTAAAAGTAATGGAATATAACGGTACAGTATTTTATTAAAAAATAGTTAATTAGTTTATATTTAAATGGGTTACCAACTAAATTATTAATGAATAAATAATTAACGCATAATAATTATGTAAACTTTATGTAAACTTTTGCAAAATAATTTTTTCATTATCTAATCTTTCATTAATAATTTCTAATTCTTATCATTCAAAAGTTTAACAATTAGATAATGAACAAAATTATTTTGCAAAAGTTTACGTAAAGTTTACATAATTATGCGTTAATTACTTATTTATTAATAATATATATATCACACATCGTCACAATACTTAAATGTCAAGACAATCTTTCTAAATTTATTTTTAGATTATAGTCAGAGAAGTAGACAACGTTTATTTAACAAGCAGGTTTACGTTTTTTTTTCTGTCTTTTTTTTCTCTGATGCATTCCGGGAATTTACCCATGAAGATTTTTTTAAGCGGCTTAGGACGTTGAACGCTATTGACAAATCGGCGGCCTTAAAGCACGAAAGGATTGTTGCGTGTGATCAATGAATCGCGTGCAAATAACCGCATGCAAAACCGACAGAAAACTCAAGTCGAATTCCGTTCAATAATTCACCTTCCTCCATGCGAAGTCGAAGGCAGGCAAATAACTTCGAAAGGCATCTGTCTTTTGACACGTAGAAGCGCGAAGTGGTAAACAGAGATTTGTCAGAGATGTCCAATATTTTTTCATTTTTTTTCCTTTATATTTGTCGATTAGTACCGAAAACTAGTTGTATACGGTAATGCAGGCACCTTTTTTCTCAGTTTTTGAGTTATTTAATCGAAAGGATCCACATTCCAAATGATAAAAAATGAGTAACCATGGAACCGCCCGTGAGAAGGACCGCCCATGAAGAAAATCCCATTACATCATTTGAGATATTTTTATCTTATGTTTCACACGTCGTTGATCGTACATTTAATTAAACGTCAAATTGTGTATCTTTAAAGTTTTATGATTCTTCACATTTAGACTGCATTTCGATATTCACTGCTAGTACTGAAAATATATGGTTTATGTCATGTGTATTACAGGTTTTCAATACTGGCAATGAATATTGGAACGCAGATAGAGTATGTCTATCCAAGCAAGGCTTTTTTATTCATCGGCCAGCGATAATATTTACATATATGTTTCTGAACAGTATATATAATCTTCAACAATTGAAGATCATGTTTATGCAAGAAGCAGACGTATTTGTATAGCGCAATCAGGAGACACGGTCAAGCCGTCAAGTTCACGAGCAACAAAGTTGCGCAAAACGATTTGAAAGCTTATGTTAGTAGACGCATATTAATTTTTTTGCAAATTTTCATATCAGTTCTTACATCGATTTTACGTCCATTTAAAGCTGAAACTTAAGAATAATTCCATCTCTATCTTTATATTGAATACATTATATTGAATACATACATGATGAATTATTTATTATTTCTACTCTTTTACATTTTTGATCAATGAGACAAATAGTTTTTATGATTTATAATTACTTGTAATACAGTTGAAATGAGAAGTCTCATTTATATAATTTGATATAAATTATTTATCATTTATAACTATGATATATGTTATATCATAGTTTTGCACAGTAATCGTTGGTGTTGATTATCGTCTCGCTATCATAATTCAAATTGAAGAGAAATACTGTTTCTTTCTGAGACGAGAATATTATAGAAAGGCAGACGTAATAATAAATAATTTACAATTTTATATTTATTTAATATTAATTAATTATTAATATATAACATATTATGTATATATAATATATTACGTATTTAACATATTAAATAGACTATGCAGTCATAAAAATTCAATGATGTAATCTGACCGACGTCTAATCGAATATACGATCAATAACAAAAGCAACGTGTTTTTTAATGGAAGTTTGTCAAACAAAATAGTAGAATGGATTTCCATTTATTATGTTCTTAAAAATGCGCGGTTATAAGAATGATATATGATATAATAGTTACTCAGCACTTTGTCGTATCTTACTGCGAATTCTCGAAATGTATAAGCGCATTCTTCTTATGATCGAGGAATAATCGTACGTGATCTGTCATCTTTTTTATTGCTTATGTCTTATTGCTTAGATTTTTTTCTACGTGTCATAGACTTAGCAGAAAAAATAATTGCCGGAAATGGACGCATCATAATTGGACTTTATACTTTTCCTAAATTAATTATTATTCACTAAAGAGAACCATTCTTTTTTCTAGAATGCATCATCTTATTCATAGTGGGCATCGTGTGCAGTTCCTTGACATATGTGATTTACATCACCGATCCCGTGACTATGGTAGTAAACTATGTAAGTAATTATATGCGTGTATGTGAATAATTAAAATACAAGAACAAAAGACAATTCATAGGGAGAAATTATAGTCATTACTCAGAAGCAGGATTTTAAGTGCTAAACGTTTATATCAAGTAAACTTAAAAGTAAATAAATTTAAAAAAAAATAAATTTAAAAATAAACTTATAAGAAACAATTGTTCTAAAGATTTTTACTGAAAAAAATGTTCACTTTATTAATTGATAACATTTTAGTCTGAAAAGAAAATTATTTTTTTTAATCGAAAGGATAATATGAACATCTTTTTCAGTAAAACCTTTTGTTATTTTTTTTTTACTTGCTTCTTTTGGATGTATTTCTGCATTTCCAATATATTCATATGTATAATTCATATTTTAATATAAATTAAATTTGATTTAATAACTAAATTTATAATTAATAACTTATACATTTTTCCAACATTTGCTTGAAAAATAATCTTACAATAACATTACAAACATTATAGAACATTATACAGTATATTAATAAACGTTTAGAACAAAAAATATATCAAAAAACTTTAAATAATTTCTGTTATTTAAAGTTATCTTTGAGGGGAGAGAGGAGGGAGAAAGAATTGTAACATATTTCAATAAATAAAATACTACTAATATGCGCATAATTAAACAAAACAATATGTCTTTACAGCATTTACAAATGTTGCCAAATACATTCCTTTTTTCAATGTGGAAACAACCAGTTCTTGATATTTATTTAAACGTATATGTATTTAATATTACCAATTCAGTAGAATTTCTAAGTGGTAAAGAGAAGCTCAAAGTTCAAGAGATTGGACCCTACGTTTATCAGTAAGCATTACATATTTTTTTATTTTTAATATTATGAGACATTATTTATAATAAATGAATATTTAAAAATAAATATGAGAGCATATAATGAAAAATATGAGAGCATATAATGAAAAATGTTTTTATATATATCTTAATGTTTTACACGAATTCTTTCAGTACAAATTTCATATATTAGTAATACATTTCAAATATTCTATACATTTTTAGAGAATTTCTTCTAAATGATAACATTACGTTTAACGATAATGGCACTATGACCTACATTCCAAGAAGGACAGTAGTTTTTGTTCCTGAAAAATCAATCAGTGATCCTATGAAGGACATGGTCATCGTTCCGAATGTACCTTACTTGGTAAGCATAAGAATTATTTAATTGACTTCAATTATTTAGAAAATTTTTATATATATATATATATATATATATATATATACATAGAGAGAGAGAGAGAGAGAGAGAGAGAGATTAATTCAAAAAATTGTATTTCTTAAAGAACAATAGTCGAATTGGAACGTATTTGTTAATATTTTTTAATCATCACCAATAATGTGATTATTTAATACATATACATACACATCAAAAATAAAAAAACATAAAAGTTTATTATGTTATAATTTCGTTCTTTTTCTTTCATTATCGAGGATGAAATAAAAATAATAAACGTTTAATTATTTTTTCAATGGTTTTGCTAAAATATATTAATTTCTAATGTTATAATATACTTTCGATTATTTAAAAAATTTAATTTATATTAAAAAATAAGAAGTAAGAAAAGTAATTTATAAAGTAAGAAAAGAAAGATTTTTCTATCAAATTTGTTTCAGAAAAGAATTATAGCGATATTACATATAATATAATATTATTATTTATACTATAAAATATTGTTATTTTTAATATTACAATAATATATAGCGTATAGAATAAAGGAATAATTTGCAAAAACAGTTTAATACAACGTAATAATATATCGCATCTTATTTGATAATCTGAATTGTCTTTGAAAATGTTTGCGATCTAATTGTTATCGTATAATTCTTAAGACCTGTCTAGAGATGATGAATAATTAACCTAGCTAATGTCATTATAACGTCTTTTTACTGACAGATTTTATGCGTATTATAATTGATTACAAAGCAATAAATCATTTTTATATATATATATATATATATATATATATATATATATATATATATGTATATATATATATATGTCTTCTTAGAATTGTTTTATGAGCATTGTTTATGACTATTTAACATTGTATTTGGAATTATATTTTATGATTGTTATTGTGTTTAGAGCAACTGAACTTATTGTTAGTAATATAATTTCTTATTAATTTCTTATTTCATATTAATTTCTTATTTCTTATTAATTTCGTATTTCATAAATGTTTTTATGTTGTCTGCATGCATTTATGAAATTGAATATGTAAACACATATTGAAAAATCTCATAACGTTTTATTATTATTTATTTATGTTAATAAAATAAAACATGTGCTCATGAGATAAAAATCCAAATACATTATTTGTTTTGAAATAAATCTTTTTGTTAAAGTTTTAATCTCATTAAGAGAAAATTTAGTTCAAGTAACTGAAATATATGTATGTTATCAATATTTATTCATATTTTTAATAATTTCCGAATATTTTATGCAATATAAATAATTACATTTTGATAAAGACATCAATGATTTCAACACTTTAATCGATAGTTAAAAATCAAACATATGTTTATATTTATGCAATTTTTGTAATCTAGATGAAAATAATATTTATTTATTATATTTTGTTTCCTTGTTTAATCAAGCACATTTGATTTCTATATTACTTTACTCATCAAGTCTGTTAAATAACACTTACTGAAAAACAACTTGTGTATATTATCTTTATTAATTATGTATTACCAACGATATCAATCTCGAGAAACGTGCTTGTCATTACATGTAAAACGACTTTTTGTTCGATACGTATGTCACAAGAAGATTACGATCTTGAACATAATGAAAAAAATAAAAAACTTGTTACGTTTTCCTCAACAGAGAAGAAATCTAAATAATAAAACGCAAGTCAGAGTTTTTAAATGTCGTATATTATTTTTATCTAAAAATATTTTAATTTTAATTTTGTAATTGAACTTAATATTAAGGATTATTTAATTATAGGATAATTTTACAAGTTAAACTTTATATGAAAACATTCTGACGTAGGGTGTTACATCCGCTTTGAGTGACGCCGGATTTTTAGTGAACTATCCTTTGGTACAGCTGGCTAATTTATTGGATGCCAAACCGATCCTCAATATCTCGGTATACGATTATCTATGGGGTTATGAAGATACACTAGTAAAATTGGCCAGTGGAATTGTACCCAATTTCATCAACTTTCAAAAATTCGGTCTGTTAGATAGGGTAAGTAAATGAATTTTTATATTTTCAGCGAAGCGAAATAAACTGTAAAAATTATCTTTTTGCTAGCTTGAATAAGTAATAAATTTCTGATGTTTCTTGATTTTATTTTAATCTTAACATCATGTGTCGGATCATGTGTCGGATAATGCAACATAAATATTCATATTTATGATGCAAAACGATTTCTTTGGCCCCTTATAAGTACAGTACCTTGAAATTTACATACTTGCTAGGAATAAAAAGACAGATAATATGATAAAAATATTTATCGACAAGTTCCGTGAACAATCCGTGAACAAAACAACTTCGATCTACTTTTTTGCTATCTCAAAGGTATGTTTGTACGCGTGACATGATAATATTTTATAGGAATATTTAGCATATTTAAAGTTATTTCGATTTAAATAAATTGTAGATTTAAATAAATTTAAGAAAATTGTAGAAAATTGCAAATTTTATTCATAAATAAAATAAAGTATTATTTAAATCTTATATATTTACTATATCAAGAAATTTGATTTTTTAATATTTTTTATATGTATATATAAAAAAATATATTCCAATATGCTTGAGACAGTGTAGGCAAAATTGATTTTTATTATATATATTATTGATTACTTTCAGTTATTAATTATTAATGTTTCCCAAGTGTTAGAAAGTCTAAAAATTTAGAAGGAGAATGCGCTTCGACGTGTACTTATTTCGTAGAAAAAAATTGTTTTACAGTTAGCATTTAACCAGTTTGGAGCGCATTGGTCAATCAATGAATTCATGCGGCCGAGTTCCTATCGACAAAGTTAATCATAGGCGTATAAAAACGTGGCGCACTTTGGCAAAACCGGATGTAGAAGTTATAACTTCGCCGGTGCGTTTGCTTTCGGCGGGCTCGCGTTGGAACGTGTGGCTTAAAAAGCGACTGGAAAAGTACGGTCGAAAGAGGCCGAAATTGTTAGTGACGCGGGATAAAATCCAGGGTAAAGAGAAAGGGTGCGTTTTAATTAAAAACAAACGCCCGGCGTCCATTCGCGATTGCCAAACCGTGAGTAAAACTGGTTAGAATCCAGAACGCATTTCTATCGAACTGCACTTAACGCATGGTCTTGTGCAAAATGTGTCAGCAATCATTCGTCATTACATCTGACCTTTGAATGGAAAACTATGTCCACTTGCAACATTATTGCAATGATTTATTTTGACTTGCGCTGCAAGATGAAGCAAACAATAAAAAAGCTATAATCAATTGCAAATTCAATCAGCACTATGTCATTGGCTGTTAACAAATCATTTGTAATCACGCGACGTACTGTCGCGGATTGCAGAAAACGCACGTTCAGGTTTCGAGAAAAATTTCCAAAAATTTCACAAAAAGAAATTGGTTTCTCGATGCACAGATTGATCC